GTAAAACTGGACTGCCTTATCCTAAACAAGGACATGTGCTTGTCATTCAAAAAAAAAAAAGGAATTGTGTTGATATGTAATGGCTTAACTCACACCTGAGCTGCATATCCCATGGATTTAGCAAAACTTGGGGCATACGAGTCTTGGGGACATCTCTGGAACAAAGAATAAGGCATTTAAATGTCTTTATCTGACCTGCCCACAGTATGGGCATACTGCAACAAATAGAAGAATATTATATATATATATATATATATATATATATATAATATTCGTATTATATAATATTATATATCTATATAATATATTACTATATATAATATAGATATAATTACATAATAATATATAAGTATATAATTATATCTATTATATAATTACATATGTTTTTATATAATATTATATATCTATATAATATCTATATTTGCCCTGCTCTTACTGTTTGCTTCCACCCACAATAGCCATTATCAATTTTAATTCACTGATAAAAATGTCTTTGTATCTAGTTCAGAAGGGCGGAGTACAGAGGCTTATCAGCAAATCTAACCTATCATTTATAACAAAACTGATTTCTCCTTCAAAATCAAAGAGAGGATAGAGGGCAGTAATAACACAGCAATACGTCCCTGGTGGCATCGTCATACAACAGTTGTGAATCTCATTACAACAAATTTATTTCTGCCAGTTCTGTTCTCTTTAGTGTTCTTTTGCCTGTTTCACATATACTGCATGCATGTAGCATTTAGAGCAACAAAATGTTGTATATGAGCAGAGGAAGACTAATCCCACCTCAGGTCCAACAATTCCTCAATCTAATTTCAATATTTTTCTGCAAAGCCCTTATGAAGAGTTACTGAATTTCAGTCTATGAGAACTATTTGTTCCTGCTGAGCAAATAACACATACTGCTACTGAAGCATGAGCCAACAAAAGTCTTTCTGAATGAATTTATGAATCAAATATATCTACTTGGAAGCTTAAAGATAAAAGAAACCCAAAATTGAAATATGACTTGTGGGCCTTGGAGAAATAATAATAAAAAAAAAAACCCAAAAAAACAAAAACCAAACCAAAGAGTCCTCTGCAGTTATTCATTAGAGCTCTTTGGTGTTGTGTGTGGTTTTTTTGCTTTTATAGAGAGAAAAGTTTACTAATATTAGATGAAAGAGACTTGTACCGTTTCTATACAGTGTGCATATTGATTTTTTGTGCTTTGGGTATTGGGATCAAATTATTGAGATTTGTACACCACTTCATGCTGTGTTACATCTCTGCACCCTATCACCTTCCCGGAGTACACAAATTCCTTCATATGGTCCCCCCAGGAGGATCCACCATGTCAACAGGTATGAAAATATCTGCTGAGACACAAGCAATTCATTCTTCAAATTTTTTGTCACGTGTGTATGATCTATGGATAGCTTTACACTGGTAGAAGTTGTTGTAATTTTAATGAATATATAGTGAGATTTTTTGTGTGTTTGTAAATATTAATTACATTAATCCCTTCTTAGATGAGTTAAGTATTCCTGCGCATCCCTTTCATGTGTGTTTCTAAGGACAAGAATTATGCTGACTGCTTTTCCGGATGGGTAAATTAAGGCGTATGTACATCATGGATGCAGTTCAACTTCTGGATTAAGACATTTAAATATAGGTGTCAAAATCCATATATCTACATGTGATCTGTTGAAATTTTCAGCACAGCCCATATCCATCTCTTCAGTACAGACATTTGAGTCTACTAACTGTTCAGATGATTGACTGGAAGCATCCACGTTGTTTAAGATACTACCCTAAATTCCACTGTATTGACTAGATCTCCAACCAACTGTAACAGCTTCAATAGATAGTTCACACGCCTGCACCTACATTTAAAACCTTTCATCTGTGAGTTGAATCCCATCAAATCAATGTGTCTCACAGGACCTGTATACATGACATGGGGCAGAGCTGTGCAGACATGCCAACATTAATTAGCCTAAATATCATACAACATAGCTACACTAGTTCCACTATTCACCCTAGCTAATTCATGGTGCTAGGTAGACCATAGGATTTTTTGAACGGGACATTCCTTGAAGAAAGAGAATTTCCAGCTGTAGCCATTAAAAAAAAAAAATCTTATCCTAGCTTTTAAGACATGAAATATCATTGGCATAGAAAGTTTGAAATTCATGCCTACTCTTTTGCGTGTGTGTAACATCTTGTCTGACTTGTCCCAGGGATGCTTAGATCATGAAGAGGACTGAAACAGAACTAGGCATAACATGTTATTCAAGGTGAGTTAAAATAAAGAGTGAACTTGCTCTGACATTCTTAAACCATTTTCTTCAATTCCCACACTAATACATAGAAGACAAGCAAAGTGCTATGTTTAAAGTGAAAAAGTCAGGGAAGGGTTAATTTTTTCTGTAGCCTGCATAATTTTTTCTGTATGCCCCATCCAAATCGATATGCATGCTAGCAAGGTCTTTATATGATCTCTTCAATTTCTGCAAGTTTAATCTACAGTTAAATATCTTCAAAACGTTGATCACCTCCAGGTTTTTTACTCCTATAGAGATAAATTTGTAGTGATTTAGATTAATTAATCCAAACTATTTCTGCATCTATATTAAGACCACGTTAATTGTGCACAGAATAACCCATTCACAGTATTGTTTATAAAAGGAGCCTTGGATGTCGGACTCATGTGTGTATATATAATCAAGATAGACATCTGCACAGATGAATCCCCACCCATCAACATACTCTACCTCATCCTCGTATTTCACCCATACCTGTAGAAAGAAATCTGGATCAGTGATAACAATAATGGGCAATCACTGGGATGCTGCCCAGAGATGTCCAACTGCCCCATCATTCTGTGGTCAGGTACCTCCAATGCACAGCTAAAGCAGGATCTTCCCTGTCCCCAATTACTTGATGTCTGCTGCTGCAGTGACAGCTCTGAGCTTCTCTGTCTTATAGGAACAACAATTACAAGCTGACCTTTGTCATATTTTCCAGTACTCTAATTTATCCCGTATATCTTGGGCTGAACCGAGAAAACCTCAAGTAGAGGTCACAAGGCAGATGATGGTATCTCAAAATTGAATATATGCCCCTCAAGTTGTAAACCAGGTCAGAGCTAGTTCTCTATTTCTGAATTATTAATTCCTTTAAATAATTAGCAGACATGCCACTCAATTATCCTTGATTTTCACATCCCATTTAAAGGTCACTAGGTTTAGAGTCATCCTTAATTTGGCATAAAAATTATCTGTCCTTCCCAGCTATGGCTTTATATCCCTGCAATCTCAAAAGCACAAAATTAACTTTGACAATGTTAACTCTTTAGCACAGAGGAAGGTGGCTGTGTGCATCCTTTCTCTGCTTTTACTCATGGCAAAAGACATTGTTCAATTATTAAATTTAAAGAAATCTGCATTTCCTCAGCTGTTTTAAATAAACTATGCTTCCTCCATTCTCTTCTCTTCTCTTCTCTTCTCTTCTCTTCTCTTCTCTTCTCTTCTCTTCTCTTCTCTTCTCTTCTCTTCTCTTCTCTTCTCTTC